GAGTCCTCTGGGTCTCGCAGCTGCCCGGGAGCGTGAGGCTGCGAAACAAGACGAAGCCGATCAACTCTGACTCTCATCGGAGTGCGATGCGATACTTTGGTTCTTCATCTTCGTCCTATGGTCTTTCTAACGCATACTACAGAGTTACTACAGCTGCGCCGTGAGCGCACAATTAACATCCGATACTATTAACTAGGCTATCTATTATAACATGCATTACTACAATCACGCAACTACATCTTCCTCTGACCACTGCGAAAGGTCCTGGGGAACAGAACCGTATAACGCACTGCTGCGCTTATGATTAGGGCACTCTTTATTCGCCTGGGAAAGGAATAAGGCTTGCTGGTTCGAGGGCGGTGGATTTAGGGATTGTACAGCAGGGCTGCACGCCTCCTCTGCGCCAGCACCCGTATCCTCCTTGCCCTCCTCCTCCTCCTCCTCGCCCTCCTCCTCCTCCTCCTCGGCGCCGGCGCCCGTATCCTCTTCGCCCTCCTCTTCCTCCTCGTCCCCTTCGTCCCTGTCTTCTGCCTCTTCGTCCTCCTCCACTTCCTGACTGTTAGGCAAAGTAACATTGCTGAAGCGGCGCGATGCGACCGCACTCTGGGTGGGCTCGAGATCGGACTGACCTATCTCGCTAACGCGCCTATGCATCGTATAAGGTTCGAGAAGGGAAGCAAGCTCGTCACTTGCCTCTACGTCCGGGTCTAGGTCTTCGGCGAAAATCTCCAGAGCGAGACGATCGGCTGGCGGCAGCATGTTCTCCGCGAGTCCCTCTACTACACCGCTGATACGCGTGGATATAACCTTTACTAGCGGACGGCAGTGCAGAATGAGACGAATCCACAGCGAAAACAACTCATCCGTTAACGTGCGTTTAATATACGTGTTGGGCACACGCGTGGGCGGCAACAGGGCGAAAATGCCACTGCCAAACGCTGCCTCAAGGGAAAGCCATCGCTTGCCGTGTTTTAACGTGCGCTGAAACCACAAAAAGTGAGGATTAGAGCGCTTTGGTTCGCCAGAGGAATCCAACTCTTCGAAGAACTGGGCCTGAATGCGTTGGCGCGCGTGCGTCGTTACGCTGTCTGGGTCGTCGCCGAGGCGAGATTTATAATCAGCGCGCAGGCGCGCTGCTGAGTAACGACGCTCGATAGACGACCTCGCGCCTAACTGCTCGCACTTTTTGAGATGGCGATAGTGGTACCGAGACGAGGAACGACCTTGCCTTTGCGTAAGGCGGCGCACAAGTATCTGCGAGGGGCGCTAAGAAGACGGCGCTGAAACCTGCTTAGCATGTTGCTCGCGCTAATTCTGTAGACTAAGCTGCAACTCTCGCAGTGCGTCCGAATTCCTGACTGTGGTCGCACGACGCACCACCTCGGCCATGACAGCGCTGCCGACCCCTTTGCCCTCTAGTTGCGCGCCAGCGAACTAGAGCTATTAGGCGCGCTCGTTGTTGAATAGATCCTCCTCGCGCGCGTTCCGTTGCGCCTCTTGCGAGTTGTGCTAAAAGTCACGGTATTGAAGTTTGGCCTCTAACTGCCGCTTCTGCTCCGCGCTCCGGGTGTTCGAGGACCTGCCGCTGCGGGCCTGCTTAGAAGGCCGACTACCGTCCGAGTTCTCATCAGAATCCCCTTCTGCACGTGATCGCTTCTTCAGATCCCGGACGCTCTTTAGGAGAGGCTTCTGCCGCGCGACGCGGCAAATCTACTGCAGCGCTGCCCACGGAGTGGGAGCAACAAAGGTAGACCGATCGGGGTTTAGCGGGTCGAGTAGCCAACAGACTTCTTCCTCTCCAAGGTGATCCACGGCGGCAAGCGTCTGCAGTTCTTCGGCCGTCACCGCCAGCTTCTTAAGATCGCATAATGAGAATAAGGTAGCGACGTCAGACATGATAGAAAAGAGATGCCGTAGATCCTACCCAAGGACGGGGTGGGGAGGGAAGAGGAGATAAAGACGACGCGACACAGACGATAGGCATCATGCTCGGCCCTTAGCAGGCTCTAGAGACGACGGTTAAGCAGGGCTGCAACGGACCCTAGACATGGCTGCACCGCTAGCGACCCTCCGTTAGGGGCCGTGGCACGCACGCAGCACGATAGTCAGGTCGACGCCTACGGCAGCCTCACCACCGACGTTGGCAACAATGTAGATGCAGATAGTCCCTACAAAGCAAGACGACGTACGCGGGCAACATTATACACTAGAGGGACAGGCCTCGTAGCAGCACTATAAAAAACCCGGCGCCATTAACCTCTAGACTAGCGCCGAACGCTAAGAAACAGAAGCGGACAGACGCAGAGACACTATACCGACGCGTTGTGACAACGGCGCTCCTCGCGTGGGCAAAAGATCAAAGTTATTAGAACGCGAGGCGAGAGAGTGCAGTGCAACTAGAAGAAGACGACGCATTCCGAGACCTCCTTCTATACGATATGTATATGCACGATAAATGGGAGGACAGAGAGCGAATGGCACTGTTGGAGCGGGACGGTTTGAGACGAGAACACGACGCGTGGGAGGAGTGGAACTAGATTGGGCAGGCCATCTTGGACTAAGAAGAGGACGAGATGTACTGGACGTGTGACGAGGGCGGATCTTCTCCGTGGGGCAGCGAGCTGGGCGACGGTGCCTGGTGAGACCGAGCCACGAACGGTCCACGAGCTAGCAGGCGTTGCAGCCGTCGCGTGCAAGACACGCTAACGCTGCAGGCAAGCGCGATATATGAGTATCCGTGCACGCGCTTAAGACGATGGCGGCATCTAAGGTTCGCGCTACTACAGCAGCGCTAGTAGGAATAAGGCGGGGTGCAACGTCGCTAACGTCATCTACGTTGGGAACGCCGACAAGACAGCGATCCCACAGAGGCATGGGTGGTACACGGGCAGGAGATTGCGGGAAAAAATATACTAAGGTGCGCGTAGAAAGGGTAAGGCTTATAGACAATAAACTTGGCTTACAGGCCTCTACAGTAGCAGTACCGCTGGCAGTGCTACACAAACAGAGAAAATGCGTGTGCAGAACAAGCTACTAGCCTACTAAATGCGCAAAAGACAAAAGAACGTACGAGGGCGGCTATGGTGGATTCGTCTCCCGGAGCCGAGCCCAGCGTAGGGAGCGCGCCCAACACGGTCGGGATATGGCGCAGCAACAGGCTCTCGAAACCTGTTCCCTAGCAGGTGTACTCTGTCGCCGGAGCATCTAAATAACGGCTGCAGCGACAGAGGCCTAGCGTAGGCGTTCCTGCAGCTCGCGGAGCTGTGGGAGGGAGCATATACGCTGGAAGACTCCGCGGCACGACAACGGTCCTAAGCATGTTCTCTAGCAGGTGTACCCTGTCGCCGGAGCATCTAAATGACGGCTGCAGCGACAGAGGCCTAGCGCGGGCGTTCCTGCAGCTCGCGGAGCTGTGGGAGGGAGCCTACACGCTGGAAGACTCCGCGGCACGACAACGGTCCTAAGCATGGTTGCAAGGTTTCGCGACTATTGACCAAGAATAAAGGATAGCGCGAGACGCGTCAGAAAGATGATACTAAAGTAACAATACTAACGCGTGAATACACACACAAAGCCAACGCGTTATACAAGAGAAAAGACACAGTAGTATACATACATACCTTTTGCAACAAAATCTACTTCTAAACTCAAGCAACACGCTTTCTTTCTAACTACCGACTATAGACTATTCTATGTTCAACGCGTCGGGCATGTACGGTACGTAATAACGGGCATCGCGGTGTCTATAGTGCACGTTCTGACAGTGCCTAGGTAACGACGAGTTCTAGACCACGACGATGGACGAGTTGGTGAACCCTGTGTACGCTACTACCGACATGACGGACCTGGACGACAATAGGTGGGAGCTCGTAGCCGGCGGATTTGGCTTCCCCGACGAGCAATACGACTTCTGTCTTGACATGCTAGACGGAGTCCCCCCCCTCGATATCAGCTGCGAAGCGGCGGTGGACGAAGGAGCGTTCCTCCTCTCACGCAGCGAGAGCGGAGACGCGTCTGCGTCCACTGAGGCGCCATTAGTACAGCGCAGCGAGGGCGGAGACGCGTCTGCGTCCACGGACGCACTATTAGAATAGCGCACCCTCGCTTGGTATATTCCCGTGCCGCAAGCTTCGCACAGACTCTTAGTGTGCACGCTATGCGGCCAGGCGGTAGGGTCGACAGGCACGAAAGCACACGTGAGAAGCCACTGGCGCAAAGGTAGACACTCTCCGGAGGCGACCGATACTGAGCTCGAAGCGGTATTCGAGTTCTGGGAAGCCAACCGCGAGAACTTGGGCCGTGGCAAGGATACCTAGATCGCACTACAGACACTACTAGAACCGATTCTGTTTATCGCCGTAGTGAATACGTTTCTATGTCCTGTGGACGACTGCAAGAAGCTCATCCCTGTCTCTAGGGGTAAGACGAAAAAGCCCGAATCTGCCTGGAGAGACTACTTAAGGACCCAGCATAGGATCACCGAGTTTGCGCGCGCCTGCTGTCCGGGCAACGCGACCGCGCTGCAGACGCGCCTCGACAACTAACAGCTAGGTAGCGATGTACTAGCGTGGGGCAAGGCGGTTAGAGCACAGCGGGTATTTGGTCAAGGATGCTATGTCGCTCTAGCTTCCCAACTAGAGGCGAAGCTAGCTCCTCCAACAATCGAGTTGCTGGGAGTCTTCGCCGGGCTAAAGTAGGTCGTTGCAAGACAGGAAAAGCAGGGGCGTCTGCATATCGCTCCACCTAGTCGATATAAGACGAACCTTTAGGCGAAAGCTATTGGCTTCGCCGACACTATGCAGGGGCTCCACCGCATCAACGCAAGACAGGTGCTTGATCGTGCAGATGGGGATGTAGACAAGACCTCTGCAAAGGTGTTTGATATAACAGGGACGCTGCTGCTAAAGTGTTATGCCGCCCTAGGAAAGACAGGGGACTATCGACGGAAGATGTTGGGGCAGGTGGACCCGGGAACGCCCGTCATCAGGCCCGTCGGCCCCTACGAGGCGGACACTACTGTTAAGACAGCTGCGAGGGTGGTCTAGCAGTGTCTATCGTTTTTTACGCGGACACAATAGAGTAGCGAGGTTCGTGCAGAAGTGCTAGCGTACGTAACTAATGCGGAGGTGGATGCTGCATAGACTAACTTGCGCGAACATCTAGAGAGGGGGGTAGAGGTTAACCTAGTCGGCCGGGAACAATTGCCTAATGGCACTGTCCTTACCGCGCTAGAGAGGCTGGTGCTGGCGTTATTCGTGCAACTACTGCGGCAGACTGCCGACGATACTAAGTTGTCTAAGTTGGGCCTAGTAGTGGCGCTGACGGTCCTGGGAATTGTACTCTAGGAGGAGAGATTCAAAACCGCAAACGAGTACAGTTCGATAATGACGCACTTCACTAAGATGGCCTGGTGCGCGGTGAACGCTGTATGTATCGACACGGCCGAGCTACGGGTTCTGGTGGAAGAGGCACTTATGACAAACGTCAACACAACTATGGCCTAGGTTACAGACAGGAAGCGGTACGCACGCGCCGTGCATAAGGCGCACCGACAGCCCGGCAAAATAACATGGCTCGAGAAGGACTAGGCCTTCCTGTACGGGGAGCACCGGCTTGGCCTCCGCCAGCTAGGCCTTATTATCGCAGGTCTGCTAGAAGAGCAGCGGAGTGTTCTGTGCAACGAGTTGCTGCGTGTCGACAGCCTAGATAACGTGCCGACAATCCCTTGGGAGCGCTTAGTGGATGTTGTGCGCGATGGC